TCATCATCATCATCATCATCATCATCATCATCATCATCATCATCATCATCATCATCATCATCATCAGCATCAGCATCAACATCAGCATCAGCATCAGCATCAACATCAACATCATCATCATCATCATCATCATCATCATCATCATCATCAACAACATCATCATCGTCATCATCATCAACATCATCAGCATCATCATCATCTGGAACGTCCCGGATCGGCGGCACTGTCTGGAGGCCACTACAATCATGCTTATTCGTAATATTCCTCCTCCTCCTCCTCCTGATGTTTCTCATGTTTCTCCTCTTGTTTCTCATCCTCCTCCTCCTCTCATTTTCGGTCCCCTCTTCCCATCACCTCGTTTGCTCAGAACCCCGTTCCACGTGCTCCTCGTCTTCTCGCGTCCATCCCCCCTGACTGACGCAACGTTTCCCGAGCGATCCCACTCCGAAACCGCCCGTGCCGAGCGCCCCAGCACCTACCGGAAACGCCGAGGATGGTTGCCACATTGAGGAGAAGGGAAGGGAGGCACCATACACTGACATGACAGAACAAACGGAAGGAAGGAGTGAAAAAGAGGCCTCGCGGCCGTGTCGCCATATATGCATACGGCGGTGGCCTGCGGGTCCGTCGTCGAGTCGGTCGGGCCTGGAATGTTCGGATCGAGAAGAAAAAATACCCTGGCGAAGGACCCAACAAATGCAGTTTGTGGGTGCCGCAATTGTGAATATCTTCTTCGGTGGAGCTCCTTATGGGGCAACGAAGCGCTGTACTGGGTGGGGGACACGCATGCGGGCGGTAGCACTGGGGCCGTCGGTGAAGCTCCCTATGGGGCCACGAAGCGCTGTACTGGGTGGGGAAGACGCATGCGGGCGATAGCACTGGGGCCTTCGGTGGAACTCCCTATGGGGCCACGAAGCGCTGTACTGGGTGGGGGGATGCATGCGGGCGGTAGGGCTGTAGACCTTGAACCTTCGGTGGAACTCCCTATGGGGCCACGAAGCGCAATACTGGGTGGGAGGGCGCATGCGGGCGGTAGCTATGGGACCTTCGGTGGAGCTCCCTATGGGGCCACGAAGCGTGTGAAGAGTGTGCCAAAATCGGTTTTCGGGACGCATGCGGGCGGTGGCACTGAGGCCTTCGGTGAAGCTCCCCATGG